ACCGACGAATTAGGGAGTTACTTTTGAGGACACATAGAATTACATTCTGAATTATCAAGTGCAGGTCTAGTGTTTTGTTTCAATTTATTGACGCATAGCAATCCATTTATGAAAGAACTGACATAGTTTCCATATGAATTGTTATTATATGCCAAGAAACAAATCTCGATGTACTTGTTTGGATTTTTGTATGATAAAAACGAGGGTAACGAATGTAAAGTCCTTATTTAAAATTTTGAAATGCCGCCTATTCGATGTTCGGCATAAATCGATTAGCATATTAATGCTATATACGATGACATTTGGGACACAAAATAGGTTCGAACAGAATTGTAACTTCAATATATAAGTTTCAACCTAGGGAAATTTCAACATATAATTTATGTGGTGGAATTTGCATATTAGGCTCGTTCGTTTACTTTCCCAGTAACATTTACTCAGTAAGAATTTCTCAAGAGACAAAATTTGAAAAAGAACTAAACGAACAACTTCCAGTAAAAATATTGTTTCGACACAGCTGATTAAAACAACAACTAATTTGGCACAAACAAAAAGGAGCGTTTTTATTAGAAAAAATTGGATAAAAAGAGGGAAAAATAATGACAATAATAAATACTTGCGCTTTATTTATCCATTTTAATGTTTAATGATACAAAATCGAAATGAAAATCACAAAACAATCAATTTGCTTGAGAACAATTTTGTTGTTTGTTTACAGAGCATAACAAAACATCTATATCACTTGATATTTTACCGTTACGATTTGGACATTGGTGATGTGGTTGCGGGGAAGTCGGTTGGTAGACTAAAAACTTCGTGACTTTTCGAATATAAAATAAGTTTTCAACAAAATTATTTTTTTTTTCATTTTCATAACAGACAATCCTTTTAGGAAATTGAGAGCTGTACTAACATTGGGCTTGCTTTCAAAACTATTTTCACTTTGGTAAAACTTATTACAAAACATGCATCGATTATTTCTATTCTTTGTAAAGTCAAGACCCAAACATTCTCAAAATTTGACAGAAGTATAGGTACTTAATAAGGGAGCAGTGTTGCAATTCAGCGACATGTTCGAAACGATTGAAAACCTACTCGACATGTTGCATTCGCAGGAAACTATACGTAACGACCCAATTGAAGGGCTTTCGCAATTATTTTTAATTGAATACGATATGTACATATATCGAAAACAATATTTCCAATTACAGTTTGGCATATTGAAAATTTTATGTATGTATTGGTCGTGTATGAGCCTTACAATTTGTTTATATCAAACTTTCTGTTTATTAAATGGGACAATTTATGGGTTTTACATAATGCATGTAGCTTGTTGTTATTTTTTCTTTGCTGTAGAACAATTTTATTTCCAATATACAAATAAATAAAGGGCTGAATTACACACATGAAAAATTAATTTAAAATAAAAAAATCAATTTCACTATTTATTTTCTATAATTGTTTGTTGCAACTGACACAAGACGCCTCGGTGGAGTGGGAATATTTTTGGACAATTTTTTTTAGATGAATCAATTTTGTTAGTGGTATTTAAGCAAAATTACATTACATGCTTCAAGATGTGTGTACCACACATAACCCTATTTTATATTTAATAAATTGAGAAGCCTAATGAAGACCCCAAGCACGCACACACACCCACATACTCAACCGAACTGAACAGAAATGAAAAAACTGACTGGATCGTTTTATTTTCCCCTAACATTTATTTCACATAATCTAATAGGTATTTTTGAAAGCAAAACATAACAAAAAAGAACAAAATAATAACAATAATAAAAAACGAATAAAATGCATTTTTTTAAATAATTGTAATGTATGTAATTTTATTTGCATTCTATACTTAAAATTGCCATATTTTGTAGTGTGTATTGTAATTGTAGTTGGATTTGAAGCAATAACTAATTATAGCCATGTATGTGTATAATAAAAAAACAAAACAATATTTATTAAAATTATTACAAAATAAAATAATGGGTCTTTGTTATATTGTTGTGTTACAAATGCCGGCCTTTCAAACACACCACATCACCATTTTTTATAATTTTTGTGTAGCTTTTATTACTTTCCTCAAATAAAAAAAATAACCCACTTAATTATTTGTCATCCAAACTCAACTCGGCTTTACATTAATTAGAATATTTTCAAAACCAAATAATATAATAATAAACAAATTAAAAATACATATTTCAAAAACCAAAACACCCACACACACATAATATCCCAACTATCTACATATCGATCTATGCATACATAAATAGACAATATTAAAAACCAGACAACAACAAAAAGAAATCCCTAACCTTAAAAAATAATAATAATATTTATTTATTAGTAAAAATAATCGTTTGTATCTTTTTTTGACATACTTATCATTATAGCAACCATTACCACTTACTTACTTACTACTTACTATACATTGTGTATGTATATACATTTAATTTTTAAGCTTATTGTAACAACAACGATGAAATGTTTATGGTTAAAATATACTATATACCTATAAATACATATTTATATATATACAATATACAATAATAATAGTAATAAAACAAACAAATTTGCAATAATAAATTTAAAAACCATAATTTTTGGTTGTTTTACTTTTCTCTGTTTTAATTACGAATGTCGCTACTACTGTGAACAACTGCTACAACATCCTATTTTTACATTCTATACTTGCTCTTTTTCTATATCTATATCTGTGTCTTTGTCTGTCTGTCTGTCTTTTCGTCTTCGATTCTGTACTTCTTGGTCACATTATCATAATTTGTCATAGTTTGTTTTTCCTTCTTTTACTTTGTGTATCCTTAGTTGATGGTGATACTCCTTAGCGTTTATCTAACTTTTTGCATTTAAATTTTGTGTTATTCAACCAACCGCCTACCTCCCACATCTCTACCCAGCCCCCCTCCAACACCCCTTTGGTATTCATTCATCTATTAGAAGCTGTTCTTGTGTCTTGGTGATTTTGAAATTCATTCGGAACTTCCATTTCTAACCTAACCTGCACGCCACAAAAAAAAAAAAAAAAAAAATCATGTCTCATCATGTCATTTTACCGTGGAACTAGATACAAACTTAAACGTAGCTTATACACAAATTAACAAATATATTTTACAGACAAAAGTAACTTATATATAATTAATATTTTTGTAAAATAAATGCTGTTATCATAAATGCACAAATGTTCTAATTTTTATTTGTTTATGCATAGAAAATAGTGAATTCATGGAATTAGAAATCAAGTGAACAAAAATGTGGCGTTTGAGTCGAAAAATATTTCCATATTTCAAAAATGTCACATTAGGTTCGTTCGTTTGCTTCCCCAGTACAAAAATACAAACTTTTCGTTCTCTAGAGAGAAAATTGGAAAAAGTAAACGAAGAACATCCATTAAAAACAACAATTTCGCACAAACAAAAAAGCTGAATTTTTATAACAAAAAAAACAGCTGATTAATTTTCAGCTGATGTTTTTCTTATAAAAATGTTGTTTTTTTAACCAGCTGTGTCGATAGAATCATTTTTCTGGATGTTGTTCGTTTACTTTTGGCAAATTTCTCTCTTGAGAACGTAAAATGTACTCTCTGCAAATTCTTACTGAGTAAATGTTATTGGGAAAGTAAATAAACGAACCTAATGTGTGTTTACTCAATAAGTTTATTGAGAGAACAGTAAAAATTTTCAAGTTATATCAGCTGATATTTTTTGGCCAAAGATTTTTAGTTCTCAGTCCTAGAAGTATTTTTTCATATTATTATAGAGTTACGTTTAAGTTTGTCAAATCCAAGGGTTTTCTCTTTGAAAAAAATCCTTTAGTACCAAACACACACACACACGAAACTGGGTGCGTGTTTCGGTACGTGCGTAGTGTGGGCACATATCCATCCTTACATATCATTTTTTCCGTCTCATTCATGTACATACATATAACCATCACATCTCTGATACTTACTTCAATCCCCCTTCTCCCGCCCCGCCCCCGAATCTCTCTCACACACACACACATATGTAGTCTCAAAGCGTAAACGTAAGTCTGTAAAGTAAGTATGTTTTGTAAAACCTACCTTCATTTTCTTTATTGTTTTTCCTTCTTCTTATGTTTGGTTATAGATTATCTTGTAATTCGTAATATCTGCTTTCCAAGTTCTTTTATTTTTAATGCATGACCACCACCACCACACACACATACATACATATACTACTTGCTACACCCATACTACTCGTATATGAAGTTTGAGTTTCAATGGAAAAATTAATACACGTAACGTAGTGAATGTTTGGACGAGGATGATGTGTGCAACTGGGCGAGTGGTACAGCTCTTTGGCTGGCTGGCTGGCTGATTTGTATATTAGAGTGCTTTCGAAGGTTGACAAGGGTTATTGTCGTCTCCTATAAGTATATCCTCCATTTTTTGCAACTGCATTCACTTGCCTACATAGTATCATTGTTTTGTCATACATATTTACAAACTTACCTGCATAGATATTTAATAAAAAATATACGTACATACATACATATCTAGGTTCCATATACCCACCAACCAATGTCATCCAATCACCAGTGTTGTATAACACACACATACACACCAATATATCTATATACATGTGCATACATGTGACATCTGATATGTATGCACCGGCAATGATGACGATCATGATCGCCATCGCCAATTCGTTCGTTAGTTCGTCCAATGAAATCAAATACCTATACATAATGTTTTTATATTCCAAAATTACAGTTATAGATACTTCGACAAACAGAAACACAAAAACATTACTTCCCCCAACAACAACAACAGCAGCAAGCAGAATAATATTCAGCCTGATCCACCAGACGAGCGCAAGCGAGCAGCCCACCCGCAAACATCTCTCCATCCATACGTCCAGGCGTCAGTCTTTGTTACGACGAAGGGTCTCGAATCGTCCGAGCATCTGCCTTACAACGCATCACAAACACAACAAGGAGTGGGAGGTGGAGGAAGGCTCATTGATCGATCAGTGCAACTTGTCCTTATTGTCATGATCAATTCAAATCACACGGGCACGACCCGTCGTCCGTTTTCACGCAACGGCCCATCTGTTCGTAATCATCGAGGGCGTTCACTATTTTCTCCACATCATCACTCGCATTCGTATCAGGGCCAACAACAAGGGCATCAGCAGCAACAACAACAACACAATAACAACAACCATCGCATGAATAACGGCCTCAATACCGGGGGAAATAACAACAATGGCAACAACAATCCAGGCCCATCGTGGTACAATAAGGACAACGCCGGTAATAGTAGCAACATTGAAGCCTGGAATTCCCTTGGGTAAGAAGAACATTTTAATATGGGCCAATACAAAAGCCAAACAAAACAAAAAAACCAAAACAAAGAACAGCTGCATTGCCTTAAAACCTAAACCGCCAACTAAACCCCCATCCTCCAAATTTTTGAATATATTTTAATTTTGCCATAAATTAAAAAATACATTTCGATAATCTTATGTGTAGTAATTTGTAGCAGGTTAGGAAATAATTTTAGGACCAGGATCAATAATGAAACCCAAAAAGGTGCACAGGTTCCGATCACTTCATCGTAATTTAAAAAATACTATGACAAATTTTTGTTTTTTATTAATTTCATTGCGATTTTCTGTCAGATCACTCAGTGGGTTGGTCAGGACACTTCATTTTTTCCAGTTATTCATTCAATCGCTCACACACACACTCACACTCACTCACTCTGTTTGTAATTCCCAATAAATTTCTGTCATCTTCTTCTTCGATATTCCAGCAGCAACAACAACAATAATCATCAACAGCAACAGATCAACAACCTGCCATTGCAACAACAATTCCATGGGCAAAATTATCAACCAAATAATCGTCGGGGAGGAACCAACAATCACGGCGATTTTTACAATTTCCGACGCGGTGGTGGAGGCGGCGGCGGCGGCAGCGGTTGTGGTATCAGCAACAACAGTAATGGGCCCAACGTAACCAATGGCAATATGATGATGATGCCGCATCGCAGCGTGGACTATCATCAGCAGCAGCAACAACAACAACACACCGATCGCTTTAGCAACAATAGTCACAGTCGAAACTATAATGGCGGGTCAAATTCAGGTCTATGTGATAGAAATATAAACAACAACAACAACAATGCCGTGAGTTCTGAGATCGAAAAATGAAAATTGAATTCTTTCCATGCTAAAGTTTCTCCTTACCCAATGTAGCACAACAATGACTCGGGGATGGGTGGTGGTAGCAATTCTAGAATGCTGGACAGTGGCGAGGGCAATTCTAATTTCCCACTAGGCAATAATGGTCGCAGCAATAACAATTCGTACAATCGCTCTTCACAGTACTACAACAATAACAACAGCAACAATGTGTCAAACCAGTACTCAAACAATGGACCATCGACATCGGCCTCGGCTTTGGCGGCCAATGCTGTAAGCTCCTTATTAGATGGACCATCCAGTTCAGGTTTAACGGGGCCGAACATACTTAAATCGGACAGTCCGTCACGTAAACGAAGGCGTATATCGGGAAGGATGCCAAGTCAATCGCCACCAGCCCTATGGGAGCAGAGGCGCTCACCTCGCATGTTGGTAAGTGCTGTAAATGAAAATACAATCCAAACGAAATCGTAATTAAATTTATAATCTTCTCAAGTTACAGCAAGGAAGCCCACCTATACGACGCCCCCGTCTGAGGGACAACAGTTCGATCTCGCAAAATCAAAATTATTTCAATAATGGTGGCTACCACCAACAGACTCAACAGCATCACTATCAGCAGCAGCAACAACAACAGCAGCACCAACCACATCCCCAACAACACCAACAGCAACATCCCCAACAGCAGCCGCAGCAGCAGCATTCTAATAGTCATTCAAATGGCCATTTTATGACGCATCAACAGCAACAACAACGTCCACACTGGGACATAAATACTGCAGCAGTAGTCAATGCCAATTCCGCCCCCTCAATTGCTCTCATACACACCCCACCGCCTACCCATCCACACAATCAAGCACAAAGTCCTGCAGCTTTACCACCGCCACCTCCATTGATGGTGGATATCAATCAGGTTCCCGTAAGTTTATCACTGCGTCATGCCGAGCCAGTGTGGGCCTCAATCTGTACAACGTATCCCGCCCAGCCGCCACCACCGCCGCAACAGCCCCGATTGGCGCCATGTCATCTCCACAGCATTTATCCACAACCATTTCCGACTCAGCCCGCCTGCAATTCGCATCCGCATGCTCAATTTACAAATGCTGCTGGTTTTTCGGCCGGTACCCTACAAGTGGCTCAGACGCCGCAGCAGCTTGCCGCAGCAACGGCCGCCGTCGCTCAGCAACAGCAGTCGCAAGCAGCACTGGTAGCTGCAGCAACGGTGGCTGCCAATTATCAGAACTCAACACACTTGACACAGCAACAGAGATCTGATGCAGCGGCGGCTGCTGTTGCCAGCTTGTCACTGGACCCATCTGGCACACATCACCATCACCACCATCATTCGCAGGGTGTTGCAGCTGTGCCACAACTGCAGGCCACATCCATACACTTGACATCGATGTCGGCGGCAGCAGCCGCTCATCACTCACATTCCATGGCAGCGGCAGCAGCAGCTGCTGCAGCACAAGTCTCACAGCTTTCAGCCCAACCACAGCCAATTATCATTTCTGCCGAAGTAAGTACAAAGAAAAAAAGGCGGCTGAATAACCGACCGGACTAATAATAACGAATCACTTTCATGTTTTCAGAGACGAACATTCCCTCCACATAGGCGTATTACACGCTTCTGGACTGCAAACCATCCCCACGGTCCACATAGACATGTCTTGCCTCCTCAGACCTTGGGTCCACAACCGACGCCAGTACAGATACAAACAACTGGCATTATAAATCCTGGATTTTTACTTAATTTCCTGTGAGTATTTTTTGGCCGTGTCGTTGATTTGCGGTTTCACTTACCTTCTATCCCGTCAATTTTTACAGTGCCATGTTCCCATTGTCTCCCTACAATCAACATGAATTGAATTCATCCGATTCCAATGAGACCGAAAACTACGAAGCCCTGTTGAGTTTAGCCGAGCGTCTTGGCGAAGCGAAACCCCGCGGTTTGGCTCGCAATGAAATTGATCAGCTTCCCAGCTATAAATTCAATCCCGAAACTCATAATGGTAAGTAGCGGACGATGAAAACAATTGAGACTGTACAAATTGAAAAGAAGTAAAAATATGTTAAATTGTATCGGAGAAAAAAGTTGGACCTTACACGTGTCCAAATTTTGCAGATCTACGTCGAATTTCTTTCGGAGGATAGTGTATTACAACGAATGATCTTCTCTTAGAATTTCATGCGGATTGACTTTTTGTTTATAGGGTCTAAGACACTACTATACGGGAACTTATTACATATCCTCCATCTTATAATGGATGGTATATTAATTTCATATAGGGATTATTTAAATGTCTCAATAAGTTCGTTCGTTTCCTTTTTTAGTAATATTTACTCAGTAAGAATGGTACAAGCAAATTTTTATTGAGTACTTTTTTTCCTTGTAAGAATTTGCAAATACTCAGTAACACAACTGTTAAATATGCTGTCTGAAATCACTTTCTTTTGCTGGACTTGTTGGTAAACGAAGAACATTTTGTAATAATTTGTACAAATTATTGAGTAAACGAACGAACCTAATATAAAATAAATTGATGCGACCGTTGTCTTAATGATTTGATTTTATTCCATCGTAGGTGATCAGACATCCTGTGTTGTTTGCATGTGTGACTTTGAAATACGACAGATATTACGTGTCCTGCCGTGTTCGCATGAGTTCCATGCCAAATGTGTCGATAAATGGTTACGGGTATGTAGAGCAAAACCTATATTATATACATATGTATATACATGATATATTTATATTCCGATTTATGTATTGAATTCTTGTAAATTAATTTTGTTGTCATTGTCCTTTGTTACAGTCGAACCGAACGTGTCCAATTTGTCGAGGCAATGCTTCCGATTATTTTGATAACCCAGATCAGCAGACACGACAACAGCAACAACAGTCGCAAGGCCAATTGCCGACAAACCAAACGACTTCAGTTCCTGCGACTACGGTTCCGGGAAACGTAGTGGTGGCTAGCGGCGATAATAGCAATACCAGTGCAACTCCAACACCAACAACAGCAATTAACATTAACTCCAACAATAGTCAAGCTCAGCCAAATGGCCAAAGTATAACAACAACAACCCACTAAAAGACAATAGCAAAAAAAGATTTATTGTCTGTCTTAACAAAAACAACGAATTTTATCCTCATCACAAAATTAAATCTTTTTCGTTTTCTATCATCCCATTGTGTCTCTCATTCACTTACAAATATATATATGTATATCTACAAACAAATGATGTTATTACACCACCTTTAGACTTTATGATTTTTTCAATTTGTTAATGCACATTTTTCTAAATTTGAAATGCTATTTTCATACTAATATGTTCGTATGTATGTATTATGCAAATTTTGTATTGTAATATGTTAAAGTGTAGCGTGTTCCAAAAATAATGACATTCTACACCTGTCCAATAATTGGCATATTGTAACAAACATACACAAACACTCTCTAAATAACAAATGTATAGTGGTGACACGCCAGAAGACACGGCTGACAAAAAAAAAAAAAAAAAAAACCCTCTTTGTCAGTAGATCACATTGTCGATTAGCATTGATTTAAATGTAAAATATTTCTTTAAAATTCGAGATACGCATATGTAGGTATATACATATATAAACATGCCAATGAAGTGACAATTCAATAATTGGTTTAAAATAATATCAAATCAAACTTTCATTCAGAAGGCATAACCATACTTGTAGAAAATCAAAAGATGTTCTAGGTCATGTATTTTACAAATCAAAAAACATTTGTTAATTTGCCTATTTATCTTGTGAAATTACAAATCTGTTTCTAAACCACTTTTTGATGAGGTGTCTGTAAGTTGTCTTTCGTTATCACATTTGATTCTTGGTCGTTTTAACTTTTTAGTGTAGTATTGAAGTTTTTTTTTTTATTTTTATGCAATTATTAGCAGCAAAGCCAAAATGTTTACAAACGTGATTCATAGAGAGTTTCATTTTGTTATTTAAAAAAAAAATAATTAATAAATAAACGAACAATAATACCGATCTGTAAACAAAAAAGCAATGTAAAAAAAAATAACACAAAAATTATATATGATGGTATGTAACGGACAAATTTTTAATATTTATAAATGAAAATAAATTTCTAGAAATATTTAATTCTTTAAAACAAAACCAAAATTTTTTTTTATTATAGTCTTGATTTTTTTTAAAGAAAAAAAGCCTGTTGTCAACTTATGATGTAATAATTTTAATAGCTATACATGTATCTGTGTGTGTCCTTAATAATAATAATAATTAACAAACAAGACAACAATATACAGTTGATGATAGCGAAAATATATGCTTTTATAAATTTATTATCTTAGCATGATGTGTTGGCATGTTGTGACATTTCTCAAAGTGTTCGCTTCGCTAATAACTTTAAAATAGAATATCGGTACAGAGGAAGATATAATCCAATCAGAAACCACAATTTATTTGTGTTATTTGGACGTCACACCGAATTTCCATTTAATTATTGAAATGTCAAAATGATGCTCTCACTATGTCAAGCTATACACACAAATTGCAGTATGTTTATATATGTGTATGTTTTGGACATTGTCTTTGAATCAAATTAAAGGAAACTGGTATAACACTTGTATCATCCAACTATCCAGTCACTCTGTCATGGACAAAAAATTAAATAAATATTCGGTATTTTGGCATAAAAATGTGCAATGGAACAGAGGTGTCGGAAGAGTTACAATTTCTTCATATACATATATGTGAACATACACACACATACATTCTTTACTATTTAATGTTAAGCAAAACAAATAAACAAGAAAATGAATCCTGCCCTCCATTTGCAACTTAGTATTTATGTGAAACTTTAAACTTAAATGATACCAACAACAAAAAATAATATAAAACAAAAAAATTAAATATAGAATTAAAAAAATATTATTACTATATAAAAAAGTATATGGAAATTGAAAAACCAAACAATATATATACATACATATATATCTCTAACACATTTGTGAACTACTAACGCCAAATAAAACTAACTTTTTGCTTTTTTATTTGTGCTATAAAGGAAAAGAAGAAAAAAATACAATATAAATACCTGTACTAAAAATATAGAATTAAGTGAAAGATCAACAACAATAATAATAATAGAATAATAACAACTAACAGCAACAAAATATATTGTAACCTATAGACTACAAAAGAACCTTACGAAGTCAACGATTTGATCTTAATCAAAGTTTCTCCTTACAATACAAGAAAAACCCAAAACGAAACACAGTAACAAGAAAACAAAATTTGACAACTTTTTTCTCTTTCACAAAAACCACAAACACCCACACATACAGAATGTAGGTACACTCTACATGCGTATGTGTAACAAATTGTCCTCTCTCGATTTCCACGTCACTCATACGTACTGTTAGTTTAAGATGTTTGCTCTATTTTTTATATCAATACAAGTATACCAACCTATAAATGTGTATGTGTATGTACGCTCTTCTTTCCAACTAACCAACACTTGAACTTTTTACTGCAATTGCAACAACCAAACATTTTAGTAATTATATATATATATATACATAGGACATTTAATAGTACATACAATTACTGACTACTCACTGACAACAAACAAATAAACAGAACAAAACAAAAAACCTATAGATTAAATGGTGTTTCCAAAAGACCATTTGTAAACGTGTTGTGCTTTTTCTAGATTTTAAAGTTCATAATTATAAATTAATTAAAAACAAAACAAAAAAAAAAGAAAATGAAAACAAAAAACCAAAACAATGTACTATTCAATTTTCAAGTAAATGGTATGGTTTTATGAAATAAAAAAAAAACAAAGCAAATTATTAAAAAAAAATATATATATAACAATAAACAATGACAACAAATATATACATACTTATATATATATATATACAAAATAACAAATAAAAGGTAATTTTTATACGTGCACTCATAATTATTTACATGTATTTAGATTTATATATACATATATTGAATTATATATATTAAAAAAACGTATGCAAACATACATATATAACAACAAGAACAACAAAACAAACCAAAATTGCAATTGTATTTTATAGATATTAATTAATTAATTACAAAAAAACAACAACTACAACCACTGAAAACAATACAGTACTACCACAACAACAATAACCATAGGAATTCTTTCAAAACCAAACCCTCGTTTATTTGCAAATTGTAATCTTTTTTACAGAGTTGTGATTTTTGTAAAGTTGCGAAATGCCACAATAGTGAATACAAAAATGGCTTTGTTCCCGTAGTGCGAGAATCTACGATTTTTTTTACTACGATAACCAATTTTCCTTTATGATAACGGAGAAAATAGTAAAATTTAGTGGATTCTTGCAGTACGGGAACAGACCAAATGTTTACAAAATAAACATGGGGTTTTATTGGCACCATTATCCGGCATAAAATCGAATTATTTACTATGAATTCCAACAAAAATTACTTTAGCTTTTGTGATGAGAATTTTGTATTAAATATTGAAAAAAAACTAATTCTAATTAAATTTGTAGATCATTTTGAATTTAACATAATAAGATGTAGATGATAATTAAAATCGAAAAAAATAGTTTCGAATGCAAATTCAAATTGTGTTTTTACCAGTTTTTATATTTCATTTTCATTTAATTCGAATTAATTCTATGATAATGGTGTATTTTTATGTTGTTTCATCTAAAAACAATGAAACAAAAAAAAACTGCTTTGTGTTACCTTTAGTATGTTAACAGTCTTATGTGGTTTTATGGCTTAGTTTTTTTCTGTTTACTAAAAATATATATTTTATGTAATTGTTCCCACCCCCCATTTTATTCTTTAGATTTTTAATGAGAAATACATAAAAAAATATATATATGAATTTTTGCTGTGATGTATGTTAAATTGAAAACAGAAACTAAAATGACAAAAAAATATATATAAATATAAAACAAAACTTTAATCATGCAATTTTCTGTATTCCACTCAAGTTTTTTTTTTGTTTTATTTATTTGAAAAGACAAGGGCATCAACAAATTATTAGCCGATAAATATATACATTTATATATAACGCATATATTTTACTCAGCACACACATTTATCTTAGATTGTTGTTAGAGTGCAAATACGTTCAAAATATTTATATTTTGTGGAAATAATGGAGATATCCACCCCTTACCATGAATAGTTGGTGGCATCACTTTTTGGTTTACGAAATTCACTCATTTCGAATTTATTGGAATTTCGTAAATCTAAAAGTAATTTAATTTCAGAAAAATATATAAATATTTGACATTTCACCTCTACGATAAACGTGTGTATCTTGCTGTACATCTTCTAGTGACTGTCACGTGAATTTTATGCATGTGTTCCTTCGTACACATTATTTATTGCTTGTATTTCTTGCCTATCAATCAATCAATCAATATCTACTCCATACTCTTACATATCTAGAAAATATAAATTTTTATTATATAATTATTACTGTTATTATGTTTATGATATGTATGTGTTAACAAGTTTCCACCTTTTTTAATGTAATTCTGAACAATGGCTTAAATTGGGGTTTTATTCTATTAAAATAAAAAAAGAAAATAAATTTAAAAAATTAACAATTTTTCCAAACAAATAACTTACTTACTATTTTGTTTATTAAAAATATTCCTGTTATGGAAAATACCTTTTTCATGGTTTTAGGAAATATAACACAAATGTCTTTGCCACTGCAGCTTTTTACCAGAAAAGCGTGAAGAGTAAAACTAAAATGTCTCTTTATTTTACTAATTGTCGTTACTAGATTCATTTGAGGGGAGTAAAATGTTGTCGGCGATTTTTAACTATCGTGGCATGGTATAATAATAGAAGGTAACAGCAAGTGTTGTTGTACAAAAAACAATACAACAATCACATGGAAATTTGTTGTTGTAAGTTCTACTAGTGTCAACTCATTTGACAGAAAAATGTAAACAAACAAACAAATTATCATCAAATTATTTGTATTTTGAAAATGAAATATTTTCGAATCCACAAAATAAAAATTGAAAAAAATGAATGAAAATATTTCAAATTTAGTCTTGA